ATGGATATTCCTTCAGCGATCGTAACTTCTATCAGCAAGAAAACTCCATGGGGAGCTCACACAGGTGTTTACCTTCTCGTCGCTGTTCTTCCGAATTTCCGACGACCGCGATGAAAAGAGGATCTTGATTTGATTATCGAGATGACTTGAATAGTCAATTTTCGTATTTTTCGACAGAGCAGTGGTGCCTTCAAGAGTAGGTTAAGCTGCTAAGTCTGGTGGGTAAGCTGAGTATGATTATAAGTTCTAAGCGAAGCCAGGGTAACTTTGAACGCCATCTTTGCCACGTTCGGGCGCCGGCTGTCGTTGAGTGGGAAGGAGTTCTACTGTTTATGCTGAAGGTACATGTGACGTTAGTCATCTTCAAAGTGAGTGAACGCCCCTCTCCGTCTCTAACAGCAACACACGAGACTTTTTTCTATGCACATCTTCTTTTGCAACAGCACACAGCATTTTCCCTGAGCCAATACAACTCATGTGTTCACACAGCCGAGTTCGTCACCGAACACTGTACTGACCGGAGTTCTTCTGTTGTGCAGGCGATTGCGTAGAGCATAAACCAAGGAAGTTCTACAAAGCGTTGCAGGAGTTTCTTTGCAAACTAATGTAGCAAAGGCTTAGGGATAGGTGACTGGTCAGTGGTAAGTTTATAAGTTGATAAGCACAGTTAAGAGGCTATCTTCGCTACATTTCGCTTGAGTTTGCTGCTAAATGTTACCAGCAAAGCTTGTTCCATTCTAACTTTTATTCATTGCTATGCCAGAAGATAATATCAAAACATGGTTGAGCTATAAAATTATGCGGGAAGAAGATGCACTAACAATGGCTATCGATGGGCAAGGAGGGGGGCAATATTAATTGCGCACCTGGAGCGGGAAAGATAGTAATAATAAAATACGCCGCATACGTACATTCCACCGTTTTCTTTCGGAGCACGTGTTGAGAGGCAGGTCACAATGAACGCAGAAGTTGGAAGAGGGCTCAAAGGAAGGAAAGAGAGGAAAGTATTCTGTCAAAAAAAGGAGAGCCTGATTCAAGCTGGTCGATTTGATTGCTGCGCACTGAAGAGACTAGCAACCTTCATCCAACTTCTGGGTTTCTGATGTCGTTTGCGCAGAACTCAGGAGACGGTGATCCCAGGTTTTGGCTATCACAATGAGGTCATTATTGTTGCAGTTTTTGTTGTCGTCGCACTGTCTTCCTAAATAACGATTCCTCTTCGGAGCGACTTCTAATCGGTGGGAGAGCTCAAGGCCAGGAATAGCGAGGAAGAGCCAGGAAAGAGATAATCGAGAATCACTGCTTCTTGGCAAGTGTCTGGAGCAAAAGGCGGGCGGGCATTATCCATGTACTAGAAACACTTTTGACCATCCAGATGTTTTCCTTCATCACAGCTGAGGGCCGAAGGTTGATGTATGCCACCAGCATGGTGTCGTCCCAGCAAGTCACCTTCAGAAAACTTTAACACACTGCGGACCGCCGTACAGAGCGCATCTCGCAGTCACGCGATCAGTTCCTCATTTTTCATGAGTTCCATCAAAGTTCCCCGCCCCTTTTCAGTCCCACATGAAGAATAGGGCATTCTGTAACCGAGAACATGTTTTGGCAACATTACAGCATGGTAGACATGTCAAAGTTAATAAATAAAAGACTACATAGAGACCAATTCGTGACGCACCATAAGTGTTACGCGGTTTGGAACGTGTTAAACTGCAAAAAACCACTGTTTGTAGGACCATCCAATTTTCTTCGAAGCTATAGATCTACTCGTGTTAAGCAGTACACGAAAAAGCAGCACTTTAGCCAATAGCAAGCAAGTTCGGACCCGCTCTGTTAGTCCCCACCGGTGCTCCTATGAGGTGACTGTTTATTCAGCTTTTACGTTGTTCTCATAGACATATCGCCATTGAGTGCTTGAGACCTGATTTCTCGAAATTGAATGATGGTTGATTGTATTGGTCTACTGGGGCAGCAAAGCCTTACAAGAAGGAACGCAGGACCTTGACTGGACTCCGCCCTAGAGAAGGCCAGGAATGATCCTGACTCGGCTTGCATCATTCATTTCATTCACATGCCTCCCCTATGCGATTCAAGCTGAAGTCAGAGGACATTTCGAAGAACGTATCACTTCCTTCAGTGACTTGCACAACCTTATTACCCCAGCGCGCAGTGCAGGGGACATTTATTATTAGATATGTAGGATAGGATATACACTGCGAAGCATAATCATAGTTCCACCCATGAATCTCACAAAATCCTGTCTTATACGAAGTTTTCCA